AGAATTACAGCGAAAATAATTATCTAATCATGGCATGATGAAGCATTGATAAATGACTAAGACAACATATTATAAAACTTTCATTTATAAAAATATTTAGTAATAATTATAAATAAAAACTACGATCACAGCGTAAAGGAAATCCTCTCTGAGCCCATTAGGAGGAATCCACACACAAAGTTCAGCTTTAGCCTCCACCTGTCACCTACAACTGGGGGAATAAAACCCTGAGTACTCAATTATACTCAGCAAGACTTACCCGACAGGAGAAAAGAAAAAACTCTAAGGATATGCAAGGCTATCTGGCTTATGGGTTTATTGCATCTTCAGGAAGCATTACTAAGTGTTCGTCCTTATAGTCGATTTTTATTAGCAGTGCATTAGTTCATTAACTAACCATTTATATAAGCACATGTGCTACTTTCAAGCATGTGGTAAGCAATCGGATTTCCTTTTCTTTCCATTTTTCATCTTCCAGTTCTTACTATGATGCTAGAGTTAAGACAAGTCGTACAAAAACGCCGGCGATTCGTGAATCAATGTCCCTAGCTAGGTACCCTAAAAACACACGCCCCGCTTATACCCAAGGTATAAGCAGGACCAACCCATCACCCTCCTGTCCTGGGTGTCCATGTCACCGTCTAAACTGGGACTCCAAGCCCCTGCCCCTGAGTTCCGGACTCAGTGTGGTGCAAGGATCTCCTACCCCAAAAACCACCAAGACAGTCGGTCCGAAAAGAGCCGGATCCACAACAAGAGAGCAACAAGTCTTTCAAGCGCACATACCCAAGTATGTTCTCGGGATAATAAGTCTGTGACTTGCCTCGAGTCTTATGCAACGACCGGTCCTTAACCGGCACATATAAGGAAAGTAGTGTAACCAAGCTATGCCCCGCGTCCGCGGCGACACCACCCCTTACACCCACCAGTACCCAAACCATATTCCTGTCCGGTCACCATTTTTTCTTTTCACCCTTTATATTTTCCAAGTGATAATAATACAGTAATATATTTTCTATCTCTCGCGAGTGACAGGCAATCCCTCGACTTCTACCGAAGTCCTGTAGCATAACAATCTACACAATCCTATCATACTAGTAAGACTCATAGGATAAAGATAATTTAAACTGCTTAAAATATAATTTAAACTACAGAAAAGTGGGTTCCATTCAACTCCTTAAAACTTAATGCACAAATATAATTTAAACTGCAGAAAAGTAGGGGTTATACACCGGGCTTAAAATATAATTTAAACTGCAGAAAAGTGGGTTCCATTCAACTCCTTAAAATTTAATGCACAAATATAATTTAAACTGCAGAAAAGTAGGGGTTATACACCGGGGCTTGCTTGGGTAAGATATATATTAAAAGATTAGTATCTGCATCTTCAGATCATCCACCATCAACTGAATAGAAAATCCATTGCATCATCTCCTGGAGAGAATACCATTACACCATCTTTGGATTCCCAATCATCCTTCAATTGATTCGTTGATCCATCATCGTACCTATATGATATGCATTGATGCAAATGCATAGATGTAAATAACCAATGACAACAGAAACGCTTAGAGAAATCGATCATGCCTCGTAAGCTAACGAGATAGCTCTGACGCTGGTCTACGTATCCATGTTGTCGAATAAAACATTACTTTCCAACCAATGTTTTAGTTATAAAAACCCAAGGAGTTTCTTTATTTTATTCTATCCATTTAATCTTTATTAGAAATAGGTCATCATTATCTATTTAGAAAACTAATTATTCCGGAGCTACAAAAATTACAGTGAGTACCTAATATTGTTAGAAGCCTACTGTACAAATTTCAAATTCAATAATATTATCAATTTATCTCAATAATTTCTACAATTTTATATTTTTATCATATTAAGTATCTTAAATTAATTATATAGCTTCCAAGATTATTATCAAACTATGTGAACAAAATATACTAACAGGTATATCATAATTTTAGAAGACTAACAAAATTGGTTTCACCATTTTTGAACACTTACACAATTTTATATTGATATTACAAGTTTTATTCTCGAAACTAAATTAACAATCGCTTTATAAGACTAAAGGGTCAGTGGCCACCTATTTGGCCCAAATGAAAAGCCTCGCAAGACACGCTGCCCAAAGGCTGGCAAGCACAAAGAAGCCCAAAGCCAAGCGCGTGCATGGCCCGGCCAGACAAAGACGGCCAGAGCTGCCTAAGCGGCACCTGGCGAACCCAAAGCCAGAGGCGATCACAGCCAACCCAGTAGCAGTGGAGGAGGTGCGGCACAATTGCGAATCGGCCCCTGAGCTTCTAACAAATCACCCCACAGTACATCAGCACTATTTACCTAGGTTACGTATTTTGCACCGAGAACCCTGTACAAAATTTCTACTTGGATTCATACCCTTCTCATCTTCCTTCCTTTCCCAGGAGCAGAGCACGGGGCAGAGGAGGTCCGGAGGTGCAGCAGCGTGGGGAGATGCGTGGACTCGGCGCACACGCGCGCATCGGCGGAGCACCGGCATGGCTGCAGCGTGTGGACCGCGGAGGAGGCGCATGGAAGGGAGCAGCGCCGTGGAACAGGAGGTCCGGCGCGGCCGTGGGGCACGCGCGCTCGCGCGCACACGCGAAGGGCAGGGCAACGGCGTGGCCACAGAGGCGCTGCATGGCGCGGGTCCTCGGCACCGGTGGTAAGGCGCGCATCCGGCCGGGGCGGTGCCGTGGAGGTGGAGACGGCGGAACGGCGTGGGGCACAGCGACGTGCATGCGGGTGGCGTTGGAGGCTCGGGCGGCAGAAAGGAGCGGCGCTACGGCTGCAGGACCCACGTGGGCCGAGGAGCTTACGCGCGCACGCGAGGGGCAGGGCACAGCGGGCGCTGCCATGGCGACCACGGCGTGCCACGGAGGCGCTGAGGAGGCTCTGCGGCGAGACGGAGCTTCGCACGGCCATCCTCCGGGTGATGGCGAACCTCCTCGGTGACCCGGTGGGAGGGGACGCGCCGGCGCCATAGCTACGCGTGGCTTGCGGCGGCTCGCTCGACCAGCCAGGTAGGGCGGGCACGAGCGGGGTACGGAGGTGAGCGAGGTGGCTACGGTGATGGTGGGCGCACGCTTGCGAAGGAGGCATGGCGACGGCGGGTGCGGCCTTGGCGATGCTGCAGGAGTGGGGCGTGCATGGCGAGCTAACTCGCCCAAGGCCAGCAGAAGAAGGGGAGCAGGAACTGGGACTGCGGTTCAGCATGTAGCAAGCAGAGGGAAGGAAATGAGCAAGCGGCGACGGTAGCAGCTCGGCTCGGAAAAGCAATCGGAGACAGAGGTAGACAAAGCAGAGAAGAATGGGGAGGCTTCGGCCTTCACTCGAATGAGAACACAGGCAAACAGAGATAAAGCATGCAGACAGGGACAAGACGAGGTAGACAGCAGAGGCAGCACGACAAGGTTATCAGTTCGACAGGATAACGGAGGCAGCGGTGCACGGCAGAGAGAGGACACGGCGTGGTCAGGGGCAGAACCACGTGCATCAATTTCAGACGCCCAGCGCAGTGGACCAGTTCAGATGCGATTGGATGGGAGGCTTGTAATGCAGAGAAATACAGAGCCACGACGAGAACGAGATGGTGAATAATTATCATGCAACGAATACGTTGTGCGCCAGAAAAAATAAGCGAAGCTGCTGCGCTCTCTCTCTCGTCAGTTCGTGCTTATCAAAATAAACTCGTGAGTATATATATATATATCGTTCTATTTATTAATAGATTTTATTTTATTTATAAAAGTTGCTTTTCACGCTTAATCTAATAGAACAAACCGTTCGCTACCTATTGGCTAGAATTGTCGCTCGACATTTCTAAATATCTTTACGTACTGAGCAATTTAACTTGGCGTTGATTCGAGTCCACAAAACTAAGTCACACACGATTCCCTTATCACGGCAAGTACGTTTTAAATCAAAAATCCGAGAAACTTGTTTCGGAAATTTTTCTTAGGCCTAAGTCGCGGTGCTAAACAAGCTCGTAACACCAGAGATGCTACAAATGCATGGCAGGCGCATGAGGCACGACGCTTAAGCCATGTCGTTTATTAGAACCGCTTTTATTAGGCTCCCTTTTATTTTTATAGATACAATTATATCTGCTTGAGTGTAAAATGAATTATACGTTCCTAAGATCCACTTAAGGCCTTGTTTGATGCATGTGTATCTATTCCAATCAATATGTGTTAAAGTGGATTATAATAGAACTTAGTTTAATTTCACTCCACTTCATTTCAACACATGTGGATTGAGATAATACATACACATCCAAACAAGACCTGAGGAAGTAGATGAACTTTGATACTAGGCTGGCCGGTCTAAGATTTTGAGGTTGGGTATTTCAAAATATAAAGAGATAAAAACTGTTTTTAACAACCTAAAGACTAATATTTAGCATGTAAAATATAAAGATGTAGGAGAATGCATGTTTTTGGGTTGAATTTTTTATAGGATGTTTATTTTGGCTTTGTTTTCTTCTTTGTTCCCAAAAATTCTTTATATTAAGTGTGAAGAACTTAGACTGAAATTAAGTGTGTGGAGATTATGTGGATAGCTTGCATTAAAAGGTTGAAAGTTAGTGAAATAATATCATTATTAGTGGAAGACGATGTAGCTAGTTAATGGGGGTTGATGTGTATAGCTTGCGTGTTAAGATAGATTCACAGTGGATAGCTTGCATGTCCAAATAGATTCGTATCACGTTACTGTTTAACAATGTCAGCAACTCGAGCCCAAGAGCACAATCTTGTACCGTCATACATATTGGGCCATCCGAGTCATGCCGGCACCAGGCCCAACTCACAAGTCATTGGTCTCCAGTGGCTGAACATGTGATGAGGCTTGCACGCGTCGGCCGCTGGGTCAATGCAATCAATCCTTCATATACAACATAGTGCGTTTGTAACAAGGTGTAGAGTTATTGGGCCCGTCGTTTGAGCCCAGAAAAGAACTAAACAGGCCTAATCCGACTAGTGCGTTTGTGCCCGCCGCCTAAAGAATGTGGGAAGCCCAATCGGAACGATACGGGCTGCAGGCTGCTCGCTGCCGTGTGCCCGACTGAGAGTTCCCAGGTTATGCCACTGGGTCTTTTGCCCAGTCCGGTCCGGGACCTCCGTTGCATTCAGCGCTCTTTGATCGCCGAATCCACCGTGCCGATCCACCACGTCTTTGACGGCGCGGCCGCGATCCCGCGTGCGCGGCCTCCGCTCCGCTACTTCAACCAGCTGCCGGGTCACACCACCCTGCAGGCTGCATCGTCAATTCGTCACACGACCGCCACCACTCGAGGAAGTGAACAAACACCATGGATCCCGGCACCCGGCTATTCATGTTCTCGCCTCAATTACATGGTGCTGCAGCTGCGGTGTGTCCGAGGTGTAAGTCCATCCAAGATAAGAGACACAAGGAAACATTTGTATGTATGGACCACACGTTAAAACAAGAGACAACAGCTTATGGGAAGAGCACGCACGCCGCAAGGAAACGGGGTCATGCTATGCTTCTCTTCGTCGTCGCAGTCGCAGCCTCGTAAGGCCTGAGTGCCTGACCAATGAAGGTGATTCTGATGCAGCCACCGATTCAGTCAAGGAAATAAACGGTAAAGAAGCTCTGGTCCCAAATCCAATATGCGTGCTAAGAATATGAGAAGATTATTAAGGCATGGTTCTGACTCAATCTGGCTTGATGTAATTTGGATACGGGTCACTGGAAGACGAGATACGAGAGAGGGACGGGCAACCGGGTGAGCCAAGATTGAGACATGGCTTTTTCAAAAACGGAGCAAAAGGGGGAAAGTCGTAATGCCAAGGACCAAAAGTTTCCGCGGGCGACAAGAAAGGTATTAAGCGATAGATACATGCGAGACGACTGTAGCGATTCTGATAAGGTTTTCCCCCCTTTTGAAATCTTCAAATCAATTTCTAGTGCTCGAAAAAAAATTGTAACAATCGGAAGAATGCAGCGGATCAAAGAAGCGCTTGCTTTTGTCGGCGCCTTCCCATGTGGAGCTTTTTACCTACGTGGCCCTGAAAAAAAATACCTCTTATTTGTATGGCTCTTTTTTATTTTGAACTTATTGGTATGGCTCCAAAACGAAATTCTCTTTCTTATATAGCCTTCCGTTCGTTTTTGGCACTTGAGGGTGTTAAGTCAAGGGTAAAATGACCATTTTACCTCTGCCAAAAAAATAAAATGCAAAGTTTTATTTGTTTGTTGTACATTTAGAGTAATATTACGCAAATAAGTCTATACATAATAATACACATAATCAAGTACACAAATACATTGCAATAAAATGAGCTTATCAGACTTTATCATATTGCTTATACCAAGGTTCTGCACTTCTGCCCAATTTTCATGTACAAAAACTTGCATAACACATTAGCAGACTTTATCAGGCCTCCAAAATGTAGCCTGTGAACATAAAAAATTTAAAGATAATGATTTCTCAATTTAATGCAACATGTACAATCCCTCCCATGCAAATCTTGAATAATCCCTCCTCTCTCTTGTCTTCAACAAGAACCAATTCCATCAAGATAACTTGTATTTGTGTAACACTTCTGAACAGCGAAATGCATCCGACCAACATATGTCACCTAGAACTTCCAAGCTTCATCAAACCCACTAAATGTCATACCAATTTGAGGGATCCAAAAGGGAGGTGCATCCATTCTGCAATTGAGAATGAAGTGTCAAATTTGTAGCTGAGCTACTACAAATAGAACAAGGAAAGGAATGTTATGAGCAACTACAACAAGAAGTGCTAAGGATAAAAAAGGTCTGGACTACTACAATAAGAAGGGCATGTTCATGAAAAAAAATTGGTCTAAACTACTACAAAACAGATCAAGGACCACAGTGGAATAAGAACACAGACGCAATGGATCAAGGTATAGAGCACAAACCTTGTCGGCAATTCATCGAGCGGTGGATGGGTGTTGTCCCTGGCGTCCTTGCCTACAGCTACTGAGGTGATCGACAGCGTGCTCTGCGTCGCGGAAAATCGCACAGGGTAACCGGGGAGCTGCACAGTGCCGGCCGTCTTTGCCGCACGCGTCCTGCTTGGCGCCAACGCTGGCACCATGTCGCTCCCGCCTGGCCTCCACCTGCTCGCTGCGGGATGGGCCAGCCGCCCGGGCTGCTCGCAGGAGGGGCCGGCCGCGCCGGGCTGACCGCTGGAGGTGGCGTCCGCGCCGGGCTGCTCGCGGGAGGGGTCTGCCGCACCGGGCTGCTCGCTGGAGTTGGCGGCCGCGCCGGACCAGCCCCGGCCGCGCGCGCTGCACCAGCCGGGCGGCGGCGCCTCTCCCACGGCGGCCATCGGTGGGAGTGGTGTCGGGCGGAGGCGGATCCGGGGCCGGAGATCCCGGCGGCGGCAGCGGCAGCGTCGCCCTCGCCCTCCACCATTCTCTCTTCACCCGCTCGGTCTCGGCTCGGTCAGATGCCATACAGGCAGAAAGAGCACAAGGGCAATTCAGACATTTCGCGTACCTACAGGTGGGGAAACTAACAGAATACCCTAAGGGCCCGCTCGTTTCCGGCCCGGAATGGCATGGAACTGTACCGGGCCTGGAACCATTCCAAATTTTATACTGGGCTGGAAATGTTCTTGGCCGTTCCAGGCCGGGAATGCCTAACCGAACGGGCCCTTGACGGAAGGCCATAGAAAGAAGTGAATTTCGTTTTGAGAGAATATCTAACAGAGTTGATGGAAGGCCGTAGAAGAAAATGAATTTCGTTTTGAGGCCATATAGGCCCCGTTTTTGCTGAAAAAATAAGTCAAAATACTGTTCCGACTAATTTGTTGTGAGATAAAAATACTGTTCCGGCTAGAAAAAAACAGGTTAAAAAGTACGGATTATAAGACAAGCCGGGCCATAGCTAAGTTTAAAAAAAAAAAGACCGAGACATTTAGGATAGTGTTCCGTTCATTCCCAGCCGGGGAAGCTCACGCCGGTCTATCCTGAGTTCCTGCCGAAAACATGCAGGGGCACGCACATCTCGCGGATTACGCAAAGCGTGTCCACCACCAAGCGGGTCGCCATGGAGGACTTGCGCTGGTCTCCACGCTCTGTTCCCGGGCGGCGTCGTGCGCGTCGCTCTGAATCTGAAGCTTGAAGCCTTGAACAGCAGCCACACCATAAGATGGGGTGCAGATTTTTCGGGGAACAGAAGAGGGCGGGCTGGATTGGGTTCCGGCCAGTCGTGCGCGTCGCTGCGGTATTGGAATGGATCCCACCAGGACTCAACTCACTCCAAGTGCAACTGCCACCACCATTCAGGCTTCCCCGCTAACGAGGGCAGCAAAAATAATGTGACAGCGATGGGCCCTTTTCCAGCTGCTGAAAACCACCGCTTTGCTCTCTCTCCCTTGCCAAGAGAATACAATGTTACTGGCTTCCAGCAAGCATTAGCGCGTGAGCATGCCAAAGAAGGCATTTCACTGTCGTACGATCAGGCTCATGTCGCACTCAGGACAGCTGAAACGTCAAGAGGCGCAGCAGCCCTTGCACATATAGCTCAGAAAGCCTTTCATGTACGTAGCTAATAACTCTTTCTTTTTCACTATTTGCTGTAATAGTATACCTCTTGTCCAAAGAATCACATGTTGTTACATCGGAAGCAGCATCAGTCTTCGATCATTGGAAAGAATTACATTTACCCTCCCATACATGATAATTCTTATGCCAGCTTACATTCTTGAATTGACCGTCACACCAATCAGAGGTCCCAGGAGGCTGGTCAGGTCTTCATGCACAGCCCCCGTGAGAAAAATGAAGAATACGCTACGTTCTATAGTCTGTGTCAATCAGATTTTTGTGCAGAGCCAGTTTGGTAATAGACTACATCTCCAGTATCGCTAACATAGTGGTCTTGCTTTAAGCTTTGTGCTAGCACCCCAAATAGGTGCCACGGGAGAGGACCCGACTTCTTTGGTTCTTTGTAGTACTTGCCAAGAACCGGTTTTGCCGCCTCAGTCTGCAGGTCATCATCCAAAAATAGGTCTTATGATCTAGGCAAAGAAACTTATAAAAAGGAAAAAGTCAAAAATATGGGAAACTCTTACCGCCTCAATGAGATGGTAATGCGGGATTTGGGGGAAGAGGTGATGGATGACATGAGTTCCAATGTCATGATGGATATTGTTGATCAATCCATAGTCCCGGTCGAGTGTCGTCAGTCCTCCACGCAGATAACTCCATTCCTAATAATATAGAAAAGGACAATGTGGTATCAATAACCAATCTATCTTCAAAAGGAGAAATCAGGATAGAAACACTTATAAATTAACAGCAGTCTGTAATCTGAAAAGTAAAGTGAAAACTATATAATATAGGCTGACCTAGCATTATACTTGGTAAAAGCGACAAAAACACAAACTTACTCCATCTTTTCCCCTCAAAACGACAAAACAGGAATAGACATTTTTGTCCAATAGTTCAATAGCATCCTCCAATTAGGTCTTACTCCAGAAAATTACCAGAAAGGATAGAACTTTCATTTCTAATATCCACCACTAGGGTTTATATTATTTAAGGTTTCAGTCAGGCTGGCCATTTGCAAACAAAGTGAGTCCAGATGTTGAAGTCTATCAGTCTACCAAACATGTATCTACCAGCAATAACAGATAGCCTACAGATACTGAAGTCAAATGGTGCCATGGAAAGCAGCCAATATTATCTAAAATACTGGTAGATCAAAAGGAGAGGAAGTCATTGCGCATCTAACATTTCTGGTATGGTGTGTCCTTACACATCTTCCATTTCTAGGATAGGATGTATTATGATTCAACAATTCGCTGCGATTAATAACGTCCTGACTTAGCTGAGGTAAACATTCAAAAGCTTCTAACCAACAAAAAATGGAAGTAACCGTAGTTTTTGAAGATTACAGTGACCTTGAAATATCAACAAATTGGAAAATTGCTTTGCTAATAATCACCTTTCCACGGTACCAGGGAAGCTTGTCTTCGTGGCCATGATGGTGCAAGTATGTGACCATATCCAGCCAAGCAACAAATACCTGCACACGCCAGCAGCAGCCACATAAATTTCCAGCACCACAGACACCACCCATTCAAATTATCTTGTTGCAGTAGTTGGGCCTGAGGAGGAGGACATGTCGCTCTTACCAAGTATGGGACTCCGTAGAGCTTTAGCATCGGAATAGGACCCATCATAAAGGTGAGACCAGCCAGAACACCCACCATGGCCAGCCAGGACGCTGTCGATGTTATGATGTCCTTCTTTTCATTAGGTTGGAACAAATCACTGCTTGGGTTGAAGTGTGATCCTGTCTTCCCTGGACTCCTTGCGAACTACATAACACACATGAACCAGCAGGGCAGGAATTTAGCACCACTACCACGCTATAAAACAAAATCGTCCATTCATCTAATTCATGCGTCACCGATAGACATGTTCTTAGCCTCACCAAGTATAACGGGAATGCGAGCAAGGGAAACGGCATGGTGAACCGCAATTTCCTAGTCATAAAGTCCAGGCTTTTGTACAGCCTCTCTGGTAGCTGCAAGTTATCACAATCCGAGAAACCATCAAGCACCATTCAACGACATGCACCATCAGCATAACTTCTCAAGCTCCACCAAAAGAGAGAGCGACAGGAAACCTACCGGGTGCCAGGACTCGTCCTTCTCAACGTGGCCGTGGTTTTGGTGGTGCGTCCTGTGGCTAATTCTCCTGAAATTCCATTGAAAGACATGTCCTTCCTTAACATCAACGATAATCCTCGACAGAAACTAACAAGCATAAGAAACATGGGCAATCCTACCATCCGTGGTATGGGACAAGAATGGAGGAATGGAGTATGTGGCCGAGCACGCTGTTCAGCTTGGGGTTGTTTGAGAAGCTCCCGTGTCCACTGCAAACAGCAGACATGCGACAGAAGTCAAAGACCTGAGTCTAAAGCTAAAACTCGCATGAAAATCCAATCCTTGCAGGGGATCGTGGAGGCGTACCAGTCGTGGCCGAGGACGAAGAGCGCCCAGAACATGGTGCCCTGCGCGGCCCAGTAGAGCGGCCAGACGATCCAGCTGTCGAGGCGCGCGGCGGCCGCGGCGAGTCCCAGGACGACGACGACGTCGCGCAGCACGTAGCTCATGGAGCGCCAGGGGTCCTTGACCCAGCAGTGCTTGGGGATGGCCGCGCGGATCTCCGCCAGCCCGAACGGCGGGGGCGCCCCCGGGTCGAACTCCCCGCCCGCGGCGCCGCTGCCCGCCGCGCCCACGTCCACCACCTCTCCGAGCGGGGAGCTCCTCTTGTCCTCCTCGACGGCGGAGGTGAGACGGGTGGGCGCGGAGACGCGGAGCGCCCAGTCGCGGTGGATGGCCGCGGACGCGGGGCGGCCCGGGACCGCCGCTGCTGCGGAGAGCGCGGGGGGCGACGGCGCCGCAATGGCGCCCTGGCGGCCGGCGCGCAGGCGCAGCGGCGCTAGGCCGCAGCACTCGGAGAGCACGAGCCGCGCCATTGCCGGCGTCAGCGGGGCCGGGCGGGGTTACGAGTGGACGGGGATGCCTGGATTGATGGCTATTCGTAGTCTAATCCACACACCGTCGCCGCCGCCGCTGCCGCTGGCTGGCACGGGATCTTCTGCGTTCGGGATGGGGTTTGGGTGTGCGGTGGCCGGGCTTGCCAAGTTGCAAGGGCAGGCTAAGCTAACCCAAGTACTTTTATACCGGCGCTCGAGGGCCACCCGTGCAGCCCGTGTAACAGGCGAGCCGGAGTGATGTGCGCGTGGCGTGGCGACGGAGGCCGGGACCGGGACGCGGTGCGGTGGACTCGGACCGGGACGAGCGGTGTGGAAGTACTGGAATGTGGGTTGATGGGTCGGACGCGAGTCGAGAGGAGCTGAGGCACGTGTGAATCGTTGCCGGTCTGGACGGAGCCAGCCAGGGAGCTTCGACGCCGGCGGCCATGCCTGCTTTTTAATTCGTGTCGACTCCCTTTGGTCCCGTACGTGATGGGAATAACTCGTCTGGTTGGTCTAAAGAGTTTGTGTCGTGTAAAACTAAAAGTCGTGTTCTCCGGTAGAAATCGCACAATGTCGATGATGCGTGTTTCATTCCTCGTCGAACACCATCTTCGACAACCATTATCCAAAATACAGTATCTGTTCTACGTTTGGGTAGCACTACACTCAAATGATTCAATACCTATTTATAGTATTCTCCAACAACAAGATTCAAAATAGAACATTTCTATAAATGGGTCTCCAGAAGAAAAAATACTTAGATTTGAGTTATACCTCTCCTGACACTCAAAATATCTTCTAGGCAGGTATTCTGTTAAAGGCTACGTCGGA